CTGTCATAAATCACAAATTAATATATAATAGTTGTTAGAGGTGTTTTATGTTTTGCCCCCTCCCCCCTCCCTCATGAAAAATAGTTCCTGCGCCACTGAATCCGCTGTCTAATTATAATACAACCAAATAATTCAATGGTGCCGCTAGGGCGATGAGTTTTACGGCGGACGATGTGGTATTGGTCCTATGAAAGATTGAATGACTGGCCTTTTCCACCGACCGTATGCGACACGTTCCCTCGTCCCACGTTATGCCATGACCGGTAAAATTAACTCCGACCTGGTGTTTTTAACTAGGGGAGTAATGAAGTAATAATCGCCGGGAATAATTATTTCCTAAGCTAACCGTCGGTTATTACACCCTCTATATTTCTCTTCATCTGGGGAGTAATAATCACTGGGAGTAAATAAACGGCAAGAAAAACCAATATCAAATGTTTAGGTAAGATTATTCCATTACTTCTTATATTAATTATTGGATGATGATTTTAGTAAATACTAGCTGAACCCGTGCACTTCGTTGCCCATTAAGTGTACCAACTCTAGTCTATGTGACTCAAACTTTGTTCAATTTGTTATTTAATATTTAGTGTATGGTTTCAAAATTAATCTTAACTTTTCCGTTGCCCGGAATAAAAATTCTGTTTCACTGCAGTACATTATCAGGTAGGCAATCTACCTGCGGTAGATCGCGGACCCCGTGCTGTGTGTACGTAAGTGTATGATTTAACTCTAAAGTATTAAAGTTATACCAAGTTTGTCGTATTCTATCTATGGTGGATGAACCCGTGCACTTCGTTGCCCATTAAGTGTACCAACTCTAGTCTATATGTTACTCAAACTTTGTTCAATTTGTTATTTAATATTTAGTGTATGGTTTCAAAATTAATCTTAACTTTTCCGTTGCCCGGAATAAAAATTCTGTTTCACTGCAGTCCATTATCAGGTAGGCAATCTACCTGCGGTAGATCGCGGACCCCGTGCTGTGTGTACGTAAGTGTATGATTTAACTCTAAAGTATTAAAGTTATACCAAGTTTGTCGTATTCTATCTATGGTGGATTAATATAATCGATTATATAAAATAACATAACCGTAATAATGATGAATAAGAAAAACTTAATTTTTTAAATTAGCCAATCTTCTACCCAAAGGTCTAATCTACACATAAACATTCAATTATATATTATATATGTATATATTGACGAAAAATAATAATACAAATCAACAAACATGCCCGATTAACCAATAGCAACCAAAATATAATACATCATTATTTTTATTTTTTTTTTGGCCATGTCAAAAGTTGTGCACTTAAGAGACCACAACCACTCATCGTACATTGTACAAACTTCACAGAAACCATCTACATATCCATACAATTGAAATTGAATAAAAATCAATCTCGTTTAATCTCAAACCAATTAATATTTATCTAGAAAATAGAATTGTTGTTGTCATGTCAACAGACGTTTTTTTGACATTTTGTTGTTGTTTTTGGTCATGTCGCCAGGTGTGCACTTATGAGGCCATAACTCCGGAAATATTTATTGCACAGCGTACAAACTTCACAGAAACCATCTACATATAAATCTTAATGTGCCCTGAAATTTTTATCGAAATCGGTTCGGTGGATCTTGAGCTATAAGATTTATTCAAAATGTACACTTATTTTTATATATATAGATTAATAATTTTATTTGTCACTATGCACGATTTTATACCGGATTCGGATAATTGCCGCCAATCAAATTTCCGACACACCTTCCTAATTTTTAAAATATATCCATAGTTAGTTTATTATAGCAGTTGTATTGCATTTTTTAATCATATTAGGTAATTTATGTGTAGTGTACCTAAATCGAGTTTTAAAAACTAAAGCGAGTGAGTCGTAAATAAGTGTTGATAACCTATCTATTTTTTGTGAAAAAGTATTAACATTTATCCTATAGGCTATAACCTATTAATTATCTTATTAAATAATTTATTTCGTTGATTATAGTAAGTCAAATAATTTGGGTAATAATGGTAAATTGGTAAATGGTATTCGGTTGTTGACATTATAATATGTCTTAGGTACCTGTGTATTTGGGTTAAAAAAATTGTGTAATGAAAAAAGTGCAATGTTTTGTGGTGCTCTTTTTGTAGTGGTATAAACTTGAAATTTAAACCATAAAGGTAGGTTTGAATAAATTTATCATTATTACCTTAGCCAGATAATAAAAAAATCCAAGTTTATGATATTGTAGGAAAAGTAACTTTGATGAAAAAAATGTAAAGTAATTAATAACGGTTATTATAATAAATTCAAATAATAATACTGATTTTTATGATCCAACATAATGTTAAAATAAAAATAATGAACTATGTTTGTAAAAAAATATTTAGCTCTTGTAAATTAAACCTATACCAATTATTTCAATTAAAAGTATATTAATGCATATTGTACAAAACTTTAGAGGACCGTAGTAATAACTAATAAGCTAGAGAAACAAAATTGATGATTTGACTATCAACATTTCCAGAAAAATAAGCTTTACCAGAATATATAGTGGTTACCATTTGAAAAAATAAAGTTGATTTTGCTATTGGTACAGCTGAGTGTTTAAAAATGTTGAAATTGTTATAAAAAAATTTCCTGTTAAAAATAAAGAAACACGTTTTTTTTGGTTTTATCGAAATTCCATATTATCGTTCCATAATCGATAAAAACCCCTCGTGCAATGACATAACTACATAAGATACACTCTGTCACCCTGTAATATAGGTATTCAAAAAAGTTTTTTAAAAACAAAATTATACTTAAGAGTTTAGTCCATATTATAACTAATATACTCTTAACGTTTACCTTTTTATTTATTAGGTAGTTATTTGTTCAATAACTTATGGTTATAGCCTATAGGTATAAAATATATAATTAATATGTTATATATTTAATTAGTTAGGTACCAATATAATATTATATAAAAATTAAAAATCAATCACAAATTTAGATTGTTACATAATTATACGTCATAATTAGGGCACGGATGATGTTGCATTTGCAACTTTTTTTCTACTTTTTCAATTAATTGCTAAGTAAGTTTTAAATACGTTTCATGTAAGTACGAATTCAAATCTAAAAGTTTTAAGTGCAATTTTTTGCAATTTTTGGGATTTTTTCAATTTTATTGCAATTTTGTCGAATTTACTCATTTATACAACTATTTTAGCAATATTTTACATTTTTACACTTAACGGTCGTATGGATAAGATTATACCATAATATCTGCAGCCATAAATCCCAATTAGTAGTATAGTATACACTACACAGTATAATAGTGGTATCTTATCGAAATAAAGATAAAATCAAGTCGATAGGTATTCAATACAATACAAAAATAATTTGTGAAATGTGACTGACTGTATAATCTGTTCTTCAGTCACTCCGTGAATTTTGAACGATCGTGTTGTTACAGTGTTAAATATGCCAAAAATTAAAAAATTACGTGTTAGAATTTGGAGAATATGTGTTTTCGTGTGATGAATCCGTACTTTATTGTAAATTGTGTGAAACAAAAGTAAGTGCTGAACGGAGGTATACAGTTACACACCATATTGAAACTGCAAAGCATAAACATAACCATGAAAAATATAAGATAGTTATATTGAAAAGAATACCGGACTTAAAACCATTATTAAAATCAATAATATACTAACTGGACAAAGAAAATCGTTCGATGGTTTACCCGAAGACTTAACAGTAAGCGATTTAGCTTATTTTAAATACGCTCCGCTTACATCAACCGACGTAGAACGAAGTTTTTCGAGATATAAGAACTTACTAACTCCAAATCGAAGAGGGTTTGATTTCGAAAATTTAAAACAAACACTTATAGTACAGTGCCATGATGTATAATATAATACATTTATAATGGCATGATTATAATGTAATGTATATATTTTTTTTTGAATTATTTAGAATTTTAGATTATAATTTATAATAGTAAACTTAAAACATTTATAACAAAACGTTGTTATTTTTTAGTGCAATTTTTAATATCTTAAGTGCAATTTTTGGTATTTTTTAGTGCAATACTGCAATCAATTTTACTATTTTTTTAGTGCTACAACATCCGTGCCCTAGTCATAATATTACACCTATTTCTTTATGAGCTTATATATATGTTACGGTCAATGACGAAAACTGAACATTTACGTTATTAACCGGTCATTAAAGTTAGAAGCCAAGTTGCTAGGTTATTTTCGTAAACTACCGGGCAATAACGTCAGTTTCCAAGATAATAGATTATTGTTGTAAATTACAAAACAAAATAAATCATATTTACCTCAATGACCGAATATTAACATTATTAACCATTGACTGTCAGTCAATTACGTAAATGACTAAAAATACTACAGTTATTAATATTTATATTATAATTTTTTTTTATTATTAATTATACATTATATTTATTATTAATTATTTATTTTCACAAGGCATGCTGTTGTGACATTTTGAATTACATAATATTCCCGCTAATCGACAAATGCATTTGTTTGTTCTGCACTTTAGTTTGCAATTACACCTTTTGTAACCTTGCGATCCAGTGACACTACTAAATCCTGCAGCTTCTCTCAATGTAATTTCTTTTTCGGTATTTACAGATACCAAATCAACGAAACATTCTTTGCAGGGATCGATCTGCGATCGAGTATACAAATGTTTAATAATGCCGTTCTCTGTACCTAATTAAATATAAGCATTTATAAATTCAAATGAATATATCTAAATAATTTAATTATAATTTTATAAGTACCTAATTTATATAAATCATCTTCAACCTGGGTAATAACTGCTAATAGGTTTCGTGCTCGATCAACATCGGGTATTGAAACTTTAACTGTGGTACCAACTTCTAGCGGAGTAAATTTCTTATTTGAAATGGTCATCATTTTTTTGGCTTGTTTCTTTAAGCATTCACTTGATTTATGTCGTTCATTCTGTATTTGCTCATGACGTTAGCAATTCATGCAATTTGTACTTTCATTGTCTGCTTCCAGGAAAATAAAACATCTTTCACATTTTCTTAGGTTTGTATCTAATATGTTTAAATTATAGGTATGTTATTTTAATAAAATTTTAAATTTTAAATATTATATTAATTAACCTGTATCCATCATATTTTCTTGCTGTTCTGAAATCGGTGAAATAACTTCTTCAATATTTTGTTTTGAATCGTGTAATCCAGTTTCTTGCATTTGCTTTAACAATTCTTCTACATCTTCTTCTGTTCTTAATGAATTTATTTCATCATTTGGTAGACCAATCGATAATAGTCCTGTTCTGGCAGTACAGCCAAACATGGCCTCATAAGGAGATCTTCCAATACCTTAAAAGAAGTAAAAAAGTATTTTTATAACTACCATAAAAAAAACCATAGTTGAGCCTGGAACAATTATAGGGCCCTAATACTTTTTTGCACAATAATACACATTGATGTTTTTAATAATAGATAAATAGATAATAATATTATATAGGATTATTTGTAACTACTACCAATATTATAATAACTATAGGTAGTTGATAATAGTTTATTATTAATTAATCAATTAATTTGTTTTCTGCCATCCACGTAGTCAACATATCCTCTACATCTCTATTTGCTCGTTCCACAGAACCTTGGCTCTGGCTGTGCCTCGGTTTACCATGAACAATTTTGACGTCTTCCCACATATTGTGCAGTTCAGTTATAGTCGAATTTACGAATTCACGGCCATTATCTGACTGCAAAATAGCTGGTGCGCCAAAGGTCGTATAAATGTCAAGTAAATTATATGCAATCTCCTCTGCACGTTTACTTTTTAAAGGCCTTAAAATTACGAATTTGGTTAAATGGTCTTGATAACAAAAAATAAACCGAAAATCGTTAAAATGTTGGGACTGCATATCTATTAAATCTACTTGTGCTCTTGAGTTAAAAGCATTGTGTAATATCGGTTTGGAAACCAGTCCTCTTTTTCTATTAGTAGATTTCTTTTGACAATGTGAACAAAGTTGTAAATATAGCATAATTGATTCCTTAGTTACATTACAATACTTATTTTTTATTTCCGCAACCATTCGATTTCTCCCACCATGTCCAATAGACGAATGAGTAGTATGAAGAATATCAAAAAGCTCTTCATTTGATACATAATAAAGCATAGTATTATTATTTTCTGGTACTGATTTTATCAAGCGTTCTTTTCCATTAACCATTAATATTTCATACTTACGAACCATCCTGTAATCTTTTACCGATTTTTTCAATCCCTTAGTACTTAATATTTTTTTCGACTCTTTAACTTTGGAAATTTGCTCACTATACTCCGATAAACTAAAATAAGAATTATTGTCAGTCCGTTTTTGACTAATCAACTTATTAAATAAATCGTTGAATTTACTACGCATAGTATCTACATCCATATTTTAATATTTAAAATTTTACGTAAATAAAGAATAATTATTTATATAAATATTTTAAAATGCAATAACACGTGAACTGGCGAACAGCGAAATGTCGAACTGGTGAACTGCGAATCAAGCGATGTCAAACGAATGCGATGTCTGAAACGATACTGAAATAGTTAAAATATACGTTATGGGGAAAAAATCCAATAAAATAAATTACCTACCTTTGATAATTTGTTAGATAACGATAACCAATCTGTTATATAACATTACATACTAACGTAGAAACGTGTCTGGATAGATAACTGACAGTGACCTGGATGTTATAAATGTTTAAATGTATAATTTACAACAACGTCCAGCAGGAGTTGGGAATTGACGTGAATAATAAAATAATACCCGTGTTTACAACATTAACCATTATGTGTCGCCATTTACGTAAATGACCGGTCACTTACGTAAATTTGTATTGTACAAGATCATTTTCGTCATTGGCCGGGCTTTAACTTAAATATCATCATTTTCGTCATTGACCGTAACATATATATTAATTGTATGTACGATGTACCTACCAATGCTCATAACTCACATGAAAATACGGATACCATCAAGTTTCATAATAGATTCACACACGTTTTTAAACTATAACCGAGCTTAACATGATCTGCTGAGCTTAAATTTGCTATGTTACGCACTTGTAAGACAACTTGGAGACCCTGAAATCTTCTCGGCCCCCGGCTGACCCACCCTGTATGATAATAATAATTAGATGGTATGACACTAGATAGTGACCTTTATTTTGTATTAACCTGTAATAATACAACCCGATAGGTAAGGGGAATTTTGTTACGCCACTGGCACTCCCTTTAAATCAGTTGCCCTAGCTTGGCCCATCCAGACAAAAAAATCTGGTGCCGCCACTGGCCCTCTTAACAATGCTCCTACATCCAACTATATACAAGGGTGGAATTCAAAATCTATTAATCGTGCATAATAAATTGGGATGTCGAATGACATTGAAAATTCTTTTTTTACATTCACACCTAGATTTTTACCTGAAAACGTTGGTACGGTAAGTAATGAACAAGGTACATTCATCAGGACATACTACCTATGTGTAACCTCGCCTCTAAGTACATCGCCCATCGGGGTCTCTGGGGAATGTGGCCATTGCTTTGTACGATAAATACCGTTGAGCATAAGACAGAGTAGATTAAATAATTTGAGTACCTAAGTAGGTACCCAATTCTTTGTCTTTGAAATTATGTTGACTAGTGCTAGAATATATTATATCATGATAAAAAGTATAATATAAAATCATTGTCACAACATTTTTAAATCTGTAAATAATCTACTTTTTAATCTAATTGTTTTATTGTAAATACTTTTTCGTAATAATTTATAAAATAACATATTCTTGTAATTTTAACCTCTAATAATTGAAAAAAAATAATTAACATTTACTTTTGTAATTTTATTTCAAAACAATTATTTATCTACAAAAAATTAAGTAACTATAAGTAATTATACTGTATAACTACCTAATGAACATATGGTAAAAAACATATAAATTAAAATCGAAACCAGCACCAAAAATTGGTTTAGAAAAGTTCATATTTAACTCTCATGATTAAAATAGTTTAATTTTGTATACCAGTGATATTAGTATTTTTTTAATTCAGCAGGTCATTGTGTATAAAATTCGATAGTACCCACATATAAGTATTTAATGGCAGAACGTGTACATTTAAAAATCACAGTGTATAAACAATTTGAATACTTCGTTTCAAGTTATTATGTAGTTATGATTATTGTTTTTATAATATCTGATCAATACTGTCTGCTTATGATTGTACAGATTATAGAATAAATTGTCTGCCACAATTGTTTTTTTTTTTAAATCAGGGAGCGATACAGTTGGTCGAGGGACTATAATATCAAAGCACGCACATGAATGATTGTCCACGATAGATGATGGAAAAACCCAATAGCTTCATTTTTTTTATGAATATTAACATATTTTGATAAGATGTCTCACTGTTTTTTTTATTGTAATGTGTTACATTACTATTCGTAGTTCGACACTCGACAGTGAAACTATAACGGACGTCTGTTTTATTCCTCCGTACATAGTGTTTTCTTTAAAATATTATTTTTAACCTGACCGGTAAGTACCTATTTTCTATTAAAACTATAGTCAATTACTAGGTTAACCATGTACTATAATTTATATTACCATGTATCACAATTCACATTATACTTTCAATAATCTATAAAAAATATTGTACCTATTTAATTAAATACCTGAATTTAAAAAGATGGAAAAGTGGTAAGCTGTACTTACTTACAGTAGGTGTCGAGTTAAATAGTGGGTCATTGCAATGAATGTGTTAAATTTGAATAACTATTCTGAGCGGAGACGGTGGGCCACCTAGGATATTTCAGGTATTATCAAGCAATTATAGGTATGGGTTAGTTCCAGTTTGAAAAAAAAATACATTGAATTTGCATACTTACCCTATTATTCTACATTTTGTTTACAGTATAAACTATATACGAGGAACCTATCTATTAAATTTTTAACTACAAATTTTGACAAATTTTGTCAACATATAAACTCTAAATGGTTACCAAAAAAATCACGAATCAAAAAATCTTAAATTCAAATACACAGTTTTTTTATAGATATTTTAAGCTCAAATGTATTTACTTGGCAAGAAATTATTTTGCGTAGAAATGTACATTATAATATTTTAAATTACAGTGAACTTCTAATACCTTTTATTTATTTTGTTCGCGTTATCTCGTGTGCTGTGTCATAATATAACAATAGTTTTTTTGGGAATTTATTTTATAGCTAAGTTTCTTTTTTTTTATTCAATAAGTAGGTACTACCGATTGTAGTGACTGTACAATGACAAATTCCCATATTATAATATTTTATTGGCATAAAGAATATAATATTATGATATTGATGGTCAGATATTGAAAACAATAATATGACATAATATAAACATTAGCACTTAATACATAATATATTATAGGTACCTATAGGCTATAATGTATATTGGAGACTGGAGTTTATTCAAGACTAGGTAAACTAACACTATCTATACAAGGTTTTTTTTATTATTATTGAAATTTTGTAATATTACATGGTATTTCAACATTTCCAAAATAAATAATTATAAATTAATTGTTTTTAAAATGTTTTAACTTTTATGACTATTGAATTGGTGTACTGCGTTACTACCTACTCTGTAATAAATAATAATCCATTTTCGTTGTATACTCTTTAAATAATACCAACTTTAATAATAATTAAATAATACGGTAATACATACTTTAATCATAAATGATTAAACATATAGTTGTGGGCAATAACATATGTACAAGATATTTTTTACACAATTCAATTTATTTAAATGTTAGTACGCTGAGCAGGTATATGTATAATACCTGTACTGTACTAAATATTTAATAGTATAAATTCAGTGTTGGGGAAGTTACTTATTTTTGGTAATTAAATTACATTACTAATTACTTAGCAAAATTGTAACTTTTTCAAAATGTGTGTTTTAGAGTGATTTGTAAGAATGTAATAAAAAGAAGCCAAGAAAAACTAATTTTTGAAGTTATTGATGAAAAACTTCCAAAAAAACATTTTTTTTTCGTTACGCGTATTTTTTTAAAAAAAAATACTAAGAATTAAATTTAAAAAATAACGCTCGGACAAAAATGTAGAAAATATTCCAAACACGAGTTCCTCAGCGCATCATTAAAGTAGTGTTGCCTACATCGCAAACTTTAGATGGCTATAATTTCAAAACGAAGTTTTTCCAGTCTTTTTTTTTACATTCTTATAAAGCACACTAAAATACACATTTAAAAAAAATTTGAAAAATCGATATGTTGCTAAACCAGAATTATGCCCAGAGTTATGTAGTTGGGGTGTAGTGTATACTGTTCTTGTAAGTTGTAGGAAGGCTCACGGAAGCCACGAGTACGAAGCAGTAAACGATTTGAACAACGCGAACACGAGATTAATTCATACGAAGTTTCAACGGTCTATACATATATTATAATCGGCGATTTGAGTAAATTAGATGAAAGGGTATAAGTTATAACATGTTCTCGAATAGGTTCTAAATGGATGGAATGGTATATTATAGAACATTAGTATTTAGTGCGTAATGCGCATACATAATACATAGTTGAGTTGTGCAAGAGATTTATACAAAGTTGTGTGCTGAAATTACATGTACAACAGCCTTCATATAATTTTCGATTCCAGTCATATTGAGTATTGACCAAGGCTGGGCAAGTTAACTATTTTTTTTAACTCGTTAAGTTAAGTTAATATAGAAAAATGTAAGTTAAGTTTAAAGTTAAAAGTTAACTTCATTTTTTTTTAACTTGTAAAAGTTACAAGTTAATTAGAAAATAAAAGTAACTTAACTTAGTTAAAAATAAGTTACTTTTTTTTTAAAATAAAATTAACAATTATACCTACCTACCTTTTTTAAAGCTAACAAATAACATAATAATTCAATAAATCAAAAAATGTCTTACAAAATTTGAATAAATGTTTGTAATAAAATTAGTTACTGTAGGTACTTATATTAATTTTGTGTATTATACTTTAATTAGGTAAATAGTAAATACTACGGGTATTATTTACATCGACGGGCCAAGTTATCACCGTAATTCTATGAATGAATAAAAATATAATTAAGTAATGATATTAATAATGATTAGGTATAGGTTAGGTGATATGTCGTGTATGGGATAGGTACTGAGTAAATTGTTATATTTTTCTTTGACGCGGTTAG